CGGCTTCTTTTGTCGGTTTGATGTTTGACAAGCACCTTCAACAGAAAAGATAAAATATTCTTTCAATATTTTTGAAATTTTGGAACTTGTTTTGACTCCCATAAATGCCTCTTGGAATAAATAAAGCAATAGACTAAAGTCAAAACATGTCAAAACCTATTAGAGAGCCGCTGCAGCCACGCTGCAGCCATTACTTATTCAAATGCAAAGAGAGAGAGAGAGAGAGAGAGAGATGCCCTCGAGATTCTACCAGATTTGTTGCATTCCGGTCGTTTCGGTTGCCTTCCTCGATTTGCATCCCAAGGCCAGTCAAAGCCTTGGTCCGCCAGCCACTCGCCATGCTGCAAAAAGCTTGCTCTTTTGGAAGCATGAGATTGTACTCCTGGCTTCCGAGTGCCCTCCCGGATTTCGGAAGAAACACGCACCAATTTGAAGGATTAGAATGTGTAGATTTGGGTGATCCAGTGGAGCTGATGGTGCCATTGGATTGCATGATGTTGTGCTGTTTTCTGTTGGTGTGGTGCCAGGATTTGTTGCCCTTCCGGTCATAGACATTGACATGGACACCGGCCGCTATGTTGACCATGTCCTTGTGATGTAGCGAGCACTCGTGCAACTGTTCAATGTTGTTCCTGGCAATTGGGGTCGCCTCCTTCGTTTGCCAAGAGAAATCCTCTTAAAAACTCTCACCCAATTGCCATCGAGCTACGTGGAGAGTTGGAGTTGCATTGGAAGATTGAAAAGGACCCAGATGAAGCCATTCTGTTGGCCATTCGATCCATCGACATTGCAAGTTGTGATGACAGTAGGCTGGATGAGCAAACGCAAGCAAGCACTATCCACAGAAGTGACACCCACTATATAGTGCACTGCTACATAATTATGACGCGCAAAAGGGATGTTCGTTCATCTCAGAGGTGGATTAGAGGATCATTCGATCACAGAATAGATCAGTTTAGATCCACCAAGTTGGGTTGAAGCCACCAACAAAATATATAGTTATATATATATATCACTGTGACGTTTGTGAAGCAATGTTATTTTCTTTTTAACAATATTTCTTTTTTCTTTGAGGGGATCTCAGATCTCTATAGTTCTATGCAGTCGTTAAGGATCAACACAGTTGCTGCCCTTCACGGAGGTTTGCAGTGGAGCAGATTGCCGCTCACATCCCCTTGCTGAAGGACTTTGGTGATGAGATGATGGATTTTTGCATCGAGTGAATTTGGTTTGAGAATATGAAGTGGGCACAAACATCATGTCGATTCAGTTCTTGAAAACAGCCCTTAAACAGTAAGAGGTTCTTCAGTTCAATTGGAGAGGTTGTTAAACAGTCTACAGTCTACATTATAATGTGGATGAAGAGTAGATGGCGCAATCCCCCAAGTTTGGTGGTTGAAATTGAACCCCCATTTGTTTAAGGCATGTATGGGTGCTAGTATCACGTACTCTGAAACCACTGTACATGAAGTTTGCACAAACATAGGGAATTGGCAACCCATGACTGACTATTTACACTTGCTGTATAGCTGACATGTTTCAGGTCACTGCCTACTCGTGGCGTCTTCAACTAGTAGGTGGAGTTCTTGCCAAAGACGGTGACAGACCAGCTGCGCCGACAGACATCTTCAAACCTAATCTAGGCAAGTATTCCATAAGTACATGAATGATTTGATGAGGATGTTCATTTCATCTCTCACCTCGCACCCCTGCAATCCTGCAGGAGATCCCCCTGCAATTGGGTGTGCAACTGGCTCAGAGGGAAGCTGACCTGGATGCCCGCAGGCCGAGCAAAAATGCCGGCTGAAAGGAAAGCGCTGAAGTGGCAGGGGAGCCATTTGGGCAATGAAGGATGTTCAGGAAGGTTGAAACGGATGAAACGGAACACACACGGAGTCCAAAACGAATCATACTTCCACACTCACTCAGTTTGTTTCAATAGACTTCCATCAAGGTGTTGTCTATCCCGTGGTTTTGCTTCCAAGCCAAAGACCCGGCGCTCCTTTTTGTTCTCCGTCCTCGGTTTGTCCGTGAGGCGGCTGCCAGAGCTGGAGCTGCAACTGGAGAAGGAACGTGCTCGCAGCTTGGCCACAAGCCATCGGATAGCTTTGGGGCATCGGATTCCGGTGACCGACACGGCAACGGGCACCGGCCGGGGGTGCTTACGGAGGTGACCCGGAGGACACATGGGGGGCATTGTGGATGTAAAAAAAGGCAGCGAACGGTGTAACACTTCGACAGCTGCTTTGCATATGCTGTGGATCACAGCAGCATGTTTGGGAACAGAATCTCTTGATTCTGTTCTGTTGTGTGTGCTAGTATACTCATGGTATAATGTTATATAATAATCTCTACCCAGATATGAGGGGACAGTCCAAGTGTTGAGGTGTTGCGACCAGTGACCAGTGACCGATGTTTTGTTCACCGGTGACCGCGGACCGCGGACCCAGCCCTCAAAGCCATTCGACGCCCCCCAAGACATCGGTACAAAGTGCACACGAGCGTGACATTTGGGCTCAAGCATCGAACGTGATTTCAGGACGACTCTTGGCAACCATGAAAAAACCACTTCATTTGCCAAAGTTGGAGATGATTGTCCAGCCAGGCCTTTGCCTGAGACACTCGATGCGTTTCGGAAGTGGTGTTCTACTTTCTGGGTCGCGTACATGCACAATGGTGTGTGTGTGTGTTGGAGTCATGAATTCTTTTCGAAAGCTACCCTCAGATTGGCCCACGGGCGGTTTGACCACCTACTCTTCAGTGTTGTTTCAGTCCACCAGAAACAGATGGTCCTACACCAGAAACAGCTGCAACAGCTTCATCGGTGGCTGTGCATGGCGCCGTGCACACCAATGGCTGCAACCTTCACCTGGCGGGTGCGCCGGGACGGCGCGCGAGCCGCTCGGCGCTGGCGCTGGGGAGTGGCCATGGCGCTGGTGCTGGGCGTGCGCTGGGCCTTTGTGGGACCCACGACGTGCGAACGAGAAGGAGTGGTGCGGCGGAGTAAGGCGAGGTGAGGCGGCTGGGGAGGGTTACGACATGCGCATGAAATGTCACGACATGCTGTGACATGCTGGTAAGAGTTATATAAGTGAAATGGATCTGGAAACAAAACGGCGTTTAGGAGTAGGGCTGTGACTGTGAGTATCCTTTTTTTGTGGAGCAGTAGGTACCCGCGATGGTAGGATAAGCCTTCTGCAGAAATCTTCCGTTGAGCCGAGAACAGAAGATGTGTTGCCCGTTGTGGCCTGTCGTGTGTTTTGCCGAAGCAGATGGAGCTCCCATCCCACCCCTTGGGCGCCCACCTAGGCAGAGGGTGCACCAGAGCCTGCCAGCTTGGAGGCTGGGACTTTGGAGACTTGGAAGTGGATTGGACTGGGGATGCAGAGGTGGTTTTGGGGCATAGTCAATCTTAGTCATTAGTCTTTGATTTGCTGGCCTGTTCCCGGGAATTTCGATGAATGTTGCCAGATCGGATGTTCGAGCTGCTGATCAGTTTGTGATTCTTGGCCGTGCCACTCTGTCCAAGTTAAGAGCCATAACATTGAGATCCTATAGAAGCTGGATTTGAAAAGCACTTCATGAAGAATTTGGCTCCTACCCGACTTGTCAGGTCACAGCCATAACATTGAACACCAAAAACAAGGCGTCAAAAAGCCTGCTTGAACTGCCATAAAGGCTTTGCAAGATCTGAAGTTCTTAGCCTGGGTCGACTTTCTCTCATCGTATTGCCATGCAAAGGCTTTTCTATCAAACACACTGCGCTCCCCTATATTCACCACATCATCGCCACACCTTCTGACACCAAGGAAGTCATCGGAGAGAATACTTCCGCCGCGGTGCGGCTCCTGTACTCTCCCGGCGTCCAGTCCTTGTTGGCCTTACTCAGCAAGTTGCAGACCACCTCGGATGCCGCTCGCATCACTGCAGCGGAGGGCAGAGGGCCTGGGCCAGCGGAGGTTCCTCCCCGGCACCCGGCGGTTTGGATGAAAGACACGAAGCCTCAAACAGCGAAAGCTTGGGAGGATTGGTTTCAGATATGCTTGGGTTCAGCCTAACCCGTGGGATGATTGAACCCACCAGCCAGATAAACATTATATAACATGTTTCAAGGGAATTGAATACCACCAGCCAGATAAACACTTCCTGTACCAGGTATGGACGACATGTTTATTGGAGGTGAGGTGTGCCAAATGGATTGTTGCATGCATGGGTGAACCTTTCTTGTGTGACGCCTAGAGCAAACCTACTGATGGAACTAGCCCAGTTTGTCCACAACTTCATGTTTCTTATTCACATGTATCATTCTCCTACCAAACAAGTCTATACTACAGACATGCATTACAGCCCTCCCTCTTAGACTCTTTAGACACGACAGCGGATCTCTTTTCTTCACCTGCAAAAACACTCACTCATCTAGTGGTAGTCATGTACGCCCGCCTTTTTCCCCTTCAACCCCTCAGCTTTGCAATCTACTGTAGATCATCCCACTGGCGCCTTGGAATCGTTGTGCCTGCTGAGGGATCTGGCACGTGCTTGCAATCGCTGCTTCAGAACATCCCGAAGGTCAGGGTCCTGCTAGCCAGCTGTGTGACAAGGGTTGTTCTAAGTCGTTCTTATTGGATGGTTTGGGATTATATAAGTATAGAAGTGCCTTTTGGTGTCCACCACTGGATCTGAAGAGGCCACATTTTGGGGGTCAGGGACTCCGTTCAACGGAGGTGGACGGAAGAGAACCATTATGCTTTTTTGATGTTTTTAAAATTGTGTTTCTTCTCTTTGTTGAACTGGGTGGCCACATGCATGTGTCAACCCTTTAAAACCCACTGCTTGCATTTGCTTGTGCCCCAACTCCCATCCCCCCATGTTCAGACGAATCCACACGCGCGCGTCCCTGCAAACACCATGCACTGGGTGATGATCCAACAATCGAGCAGAAGGTGTTGGAGAACGTGAGCGAGCAGGAGGCACTGACGAGTTAGAGGGCTGTTTGATGCGATGGTTTGAGTGCGTTCGCTGGGTGACCCGGCTCTGCATGACATGAGTTTCCATGCTAGTGAGTGGATTGCATGCCTATAAGTACTCATGCCTATATCTCTATATTTGATATTACTTACTGCTTCAGATTCCAGATAATTTTTTTCGAACAAACCAATATGTCGAAAACCCCGCGAGAGTGGGAGGATGTCACGGATGTTTTTCTTCTACTGGCCTGTCACAAGTGGTTTGTTATATAAGAGGAGCTTTCCACTTTGTTCAGGGTTGTTCCACCAGTTTCGTACTATTTATGAAAGGTGCCAGGAAGTGCCAGGTAGCGCCAGGCACCTCAGGATGATCTCCCACTAGTGTCGGACAACTTTCAAACCATTAAGGGTTTGTGTGCGTCTTCACCAGCTCAGTCCACCCCTTCTCAGTCTATGGCAGACACACGTGTTTCTCGTTCTTTTTGATGCAACACATGGGGTCCAGACTCAGACTCCAACCATCTCCAACTAAAAATCAGGTCGACTGCCAGTTGATCTCATCCGACTCATCTAACCGGGTGGAAGGGTGTCTCGGATCTCCTGGCAGATCCCCAGCGATGTGGAGTCTGACTTTGAAGATGCCTTGCAGGTGGGGCTTTGGAGTGGTTTTCGTTTTCTCCGATATGGGAAGCAACATAGGCTAGGCGAACTGGAACTGGGTTGTTGAAGACTTCCTGGATTTTTTGTTGTCCAAGTATGCCCAGGGAGGCAGCCAAAAGCATCCTGGAGTCGATGGATCCTTTGGCTTTTTCAGGCTATTTCCGTTGCTGGCCACACCTGAAGAAACTCATTAGACCTGATACTGCTGTATCCATCGTATTGTGTTTCTAACTCATGTTTGACCCGAATGTCAGGGCCAGGCACATGATCACATGGCGACCTGATCAATAAGCACAAGCAGATTGAGTGCCAGCGAGTTTCACTTCACTAGCTATTATTTGATTTGTTTCCTCCACTTCTCGGAGTTTACATGCCAAAAACGCTTTCCAGGCCCATCATGTGAAGCAGAGCCGACCACTTGATCCGCAGTACTGAACCCGTCATACATCGTCATACGTGAGAATCTCTGAGAACGTCGTGGCACCCGAGAACGCCGTCCTGTCACTTGCCGTGAACGTCGCAGGAGTTGGCCAACACCTTCAACCTTACAGAAAACATTGACCTCGACAACACTGAGATCAAAGTCGAAGCTTGGACATGTGCTGATGCACAAAAACATAGGATAACCCGCACCCCACTATTGCTCTAACAGCCTTTACCAAACAGCCATTGTTTTATGAGTTTTTTTTTAAGAATCTTTAGGCTACGGTAGCCAGGTCAACCGTTCTTGTCATGGTCTTGGAGGGCTATATTAAACAAATTAATATATAACATTATATATATACACGGTATACATAGTTAGTAGCCATATGCATTTTTAATCATTTTTATATCCTTCTCACCACCTCACCACAGTATCTCTAAGCTAGCAACCAGGGCCAGGGACGTGTGGACTTCATACACAAATATATATATATATATATATCATATCTCTGTGTGTGTGTCCGTTCACTTTTTATTGCAGAATCCCTAGCTATGGAGTTTTGTTTGAGGATTTTCCGGGCCCCGGGCCCCGATCACCAACCAATGGCACCAGCGGGCCGTCCGCCCAGGAGGCTACTGTCCTTCAGAGACTCAGCCGCTTGAGGCTTGTCCAGCGGCCACCTGGCTCGTTGGGAGGGCGGGGGAGGCCGATCCGAATGGAGCAAGAAACTGGGTGGTGTTTTCTGATATGTTTATGTTCAACCTTTTAAGGCTATTGCGTTGCATAGTAAAGTTTACTATGGGATGATTGAACCCACTGAATAAAATTGTCCCTGGCCGAGTTGACAGTTTTAAGATTAAGGTGCAAGGAATCTCCATGGCTCATGTCCATCAAATTCAATGAAGACCGATGATTGAAACAGCTGAATCCCCCTGAGGACCTTTGTCCAGAATATTTTTGCAACTCCATACGAGGAATTGTTGATTCATTGATTCATCAACTTGTCAACTTGTCCATGGGTTCCCATCGTCCGCTGTCCGACAGAGCTGGCAAAACATCCGGAAGACTCAATGTTCGGATCCCCGAGGATCCCGGAGATGGCGGAAAGGATGGCTCCCTTTGAGGTGTTTTTTCCGGCCAGCTTGGCTGAAAAGAGCGCCTTGGACGTTTTTCGACCGTTCGAGGGCCGGCCATAAAGTGTTGAAGAGGTCGAGGCTCACCACGATTTCAAGCAGCTCTTTAAGAAGTTTTGCCGGCACTTTTGAAGTGGCAGCCACGTGGCTATTAGGTAGGGAGAGCAGTTAGCACAAATATATCACAAGCTGAGCAGTTAGCCATTAAGGTACTCCATGAGCGGATCGGAATGAAATAGCCACCAGTGTTTTGTCCGTTGACTGGTGGATGTTTGCAGTGGTTTTGGTGGATGTGTGAAGACGTTTTGGATCTACAAGCATGCTGTGGACATTGGGTTCACTGCTTGTAACTTCAGGCCATTGAAGACCCATGTGCAAGCTACTTCAACGTTGGGGTGGGATGGGGGTTCACAACCCATACGTGAAGTATTCACTTGCGTTGTATCAACCTTCAGAAATCCCCAGGGTTCCAATGATTGGATCAAAGGATGTCAATCTCCTGTTGCGCTCACCTGGTCGACTCTTGTAGCAAAACCCCCTGGACACCAGTCCGAGCTGCGGTTCGACGCCGGAGGCGCCGTGCCCCAGACGGAGCTGCTGCAGGCGCTGCGTGCCGCTGCCAAGGACGTGCAAGAGGCGCAGCCCTCAACCTGGCCACGTGGACGCCGGAGGAGCGGAGGACGTACGTGGAAGCCGGTGAAGGTTCGACCCCCATGGAGTTCTCAGAGCAGAACATGCTAGCTCGGAGATGATTCGGCCAGTGGTGGGGGTGTGGCCTTGTTACAGATATATGGAGAATGGAAGAGGCATGATTTGTGGAGTAAAAATAATACTTATCTTATCATATCCGACAGCCCCTCCTGCCCCTCAAGCTTTATTAAATAAACTGAACAAACCTAAGCAGCACACGTACCAAAGGATACTCCCGCATCATTCAATAGTTCAACAGCCTCTCAGACGACTTCCTCCAAAAATCAACCAAAAATCAGCACGCTGTCTACCATGCATTGTTTTCCATGTTTTTTTTCGACATGACTTTCAGGTGGAAGTAGAATATACCATGTCCCAGAAAAAGGGTCAGGGAAGGATGATCACACCGCCATTGATCTGAGGTCCACGGGTGCCTTTGAGGAAGCCGCCGAGCTGGTCGAACGGAGACCTGGACGGGACTTGATACAGTTGCGTTATGTCGCGTAGAGCCGAAGCCTCCGACTTAGCGAGGTTGGGGTGAGTGGAAGGTTCGCAACTGGATTCAGTGGATTGCTCAACCATCTATATAACAAGTACTATAGGTGACCAGTCGAAAAGTATGGTGGATCACTTCGTCCACTTCTCCCATGGCGACGAAAGGCGACTTGGATTGTTCCAGTGATCTTTGTCCCAGAGGCTCGCTCTCCATTTGGCATGTTTGCATACATTGGGGGTGGTTGACCCAGGGCCAATGTAGGTAGGCATATCTTCCAGTCCCATGAGCCCAAAGCGCATGGGTGTTGCTGTGATCCGTTTCCTCCTCCATCGCTGTCTCGGGCCTGTCTCGTTTCATCGCTCACCGGATCTCAGGAACCCGGTGATCAAGGAGGTGGGTGAGGCCTTGACGAAGAACATCGAGGCCGCTCCGGTGCGGAAACCGACAGGTCGACGTGGTGGTCCGAGGAACGGGAGTGATTGGCTGATATCGTAACTGCGGTCCAACCCGCTCATAGACCCAACCGCCGTCCACCCAACCCAATCGATGCTTTGCTTTGATATTTACGGATATTTGGCTCCAGACTGTGCAGGAAAGCATTGCAGACTTTTATGGCACAACCACTGCGGCTGCCTTTGGCTTTTTGCTCTTCCAGCTGCTCTTCCTGGGGTTGCTTTTCGCTCCTTTGGCTGCCTTTTGTTCTATGTTCTTTCGGGGTCGGTGAAACCCGGACCAGGAGCATTTGCGAGCCGCATGCGCAGTCGGCGGAACCTGAAAAGGTCCTGTGGATGGTCCAGCGACTTTGTAACTGGACCTGGGGGCATTCCCAACAAATGTTAGCTGGAACCCTTCACTGGGCAATCAGCAACCACTGTGCTCTCAAACCTGAATGCATCATGACTGGGCAATCAACAATGACACTCTGCGTGTTCTTTGTTGCGATGGTGTCTTATATGATGTCAGTCCACCTCGGGGGTTTGTGCCCCGAACCGTAGGCCCTAGGCAGAATCCTTTTCCCAGTAGTTCCTGGAATATGTGATCACAAATCAGTTATAAGTTATAGTCGTTTTAATCCTGTCCACGTATTAAAAAACACGCCCCCCCCTAATAAGAGAAACTCGGTCGTATTTTTTTAAATAGGGGGTCCCTGGAAATCGGGGGGGTCCAAAATAGGGTCACCTGGGAAGAGCTTCAAAACCAAAAAGTCATCCAGAACAGTTTTATATAAAAGCCGCTATTAAACTCGTATCAAAAATTCAAAAAATCTCCGGATCGCTCTTCCTTTTCCCCTACAAGAACCTTTATTAGAATACTGATTCTTCATTAGACTAACAACCAAAGCTTTCGAAAGGTGATGTCGCTGTGCCACGCGGTTTTGCGCGACCTCGGTGGCAAGTGCGTTTGCGTGTGAGTCCGTGCCACTGGAGGAAGGAATTTTAAATGCGGCGTGTCATGGTGGATGCACAAGGCGGACAGATGTGAGCAGTTACGGTTGTTTTTGGAACCTAATAAAAGAAACTACCCCCAAATCGACGGACGATGTTGGTAGTTTAGTAGCGGCTTGACAGGGCGGCAATTTAAAAACAAATATAAGCCGTATTTTGGGCTTCGGACGTGTTGTTTTTTAACTGTTTTTTTTAAATAGGTACCCGGGATTAAACTTGAAACAAACCTTGCCAGTGGCATTGTTACATCTGCAACCCAGAACAACCAAGAAGAAGACGATTTGAAGGAACAATAACCCCATACAGTGCCACACAGCCCTTCATGTAAGTCCGCTGATCAAGCATGCCTTGGTCATGCAACATTTCTGTTTCAGCCGGGCGTCTTGAGCTCCAAGGCCGCCTGCTGCGGACCCTTCCAAGGACACAGTTCCATGTGTTTTTTTGCAATGTTTTTTGATATTCTGCGAAATACTTCAATCCTGGTTAATCCTTTTTTGTTGAAGCATGCGCCCTTGGATTTCACAAGGCTTTTAGCAGCTTTCTCCGGACCAGTGAGTGAGAAAATGCGCCCAGCCATGTGGGAATTAAATGGAGGAGGGGTGTCTTCCTCAATTATTTTTTTCAATTAATATCTTTTTTAATTAATTGGCATGGGTGGGTAGTGGGTGGTCAGGATTAATTTTTGGAGGTGGTGGGGGGGGCACCCCCAACTAATTTTTAGGTGTGGATGTGGTTGACAGGTCAACCACCTTTGATTTATTCATCATACATTACCACATTGACCACCTTTTGCATCCTGTTGCTCTGCATATTGCAGCCAATTTTGGCCGAAACCGCTGGAGCGAATCTGACAGAATGGCAGAAGAGCCTCCAAAACCACCAGGAATCTATTGCGATATACGCAATTGCGTCTGGGCGAAATTAGCTTGAAAACAATAAAGCAATTGGACAACTTATGAATATAGTGATTACCTAAATCAATTTACGGAAAAACATCCATGTCAAGTCACTGAAACCTGGGTCTTGGAATCCTTGTTCGCCGCCGGCTCGGATTTCGCGTGCTTCTCCAACTTGGCTTTGCTGTCCTTGAAGCGTGCCAAAACCCGGCAAAGTTCTCCCATTGACAATGGCAAGCCATCACACTCCATCAATCTCCACCCAGCCATACCCAGCCCATCCAAAACCCGTAGTACTCCATCCATTCAACAATATCCAACACATCCAACACGGCTCGAATAAACACCAAGAGATGCCAGGAGCCTCCAAAGCGGCCATCGATCTGGAAATGCACACTGATGACATCCATCCCCAAGATTGCCTCGTTTTGGCCGGGGCCGGGAGCATGTAGGAACCAATAGGAATCCAACTCCGCATCTGCTGAGCTCCTTCAGCAAACCAGGATTCCAACTCCGCACGTACAGTCTCTGCTGTCTTGTTCACGCTGCAGCAGCTCACCAATTGACAAACATCTGCAAGGGAAGCAGAAGCAAGAGTAGCCAGGTCCACAGCACCACCCAACAGACGATCTGAGGCTGCCTGCGCGAGTGGGTGCATGCTTTTCCATCATGTAAACTAATTGGGGGTGGGTATACCTCCTACCCACCCCCAATTAAATGCACATATTGCCAAAACAATGGTGGTTTAGAGCCTAACCACCACAAATTAATATTCACTACCAACAGAGGGGAATATATTTAAATCTATCTGTATTGAAACATTCCAAAAATAATCAAAGGTGGGTCACTTCCCAACCACCACCAGATTTAAAAAAAAATACAATGTCAAATTTAATTGTTCTTTTTGTAAATTAGTTGGACCTGGGTCTACCCCCAACCACCCCTGTTTAATATGCGCACCTTGGATGGGAGTCGCTGCTGGCGAGTGTGTATGAGCTGCATGTTCTGGATGGCATTGGCTATGGTCGTACTTCCAGCGGTTCCCTGGTTCAACCCCACTGTTTTAACCTGACCGAAGAAGTATTCGATGCTGTCTTCCATCGTTGTGCAAGGTTCCCATACAGTGTCAGCAGGCCAGCACTGTGAACGGAGGACGAGGTGGGCACACATGGACCTCAAACAAAAAAGCAAAAAATATATATATATATACAGTATACAGCAAAAAGGTGGATCGCTACGATGCAGAGCAAGATAGAGCAAGTATTCTACTACCGGAATACAAGAGATCAAAAGTACTCAAAAGTTCTCAAAACCACTATGCAACTACGCCACAGGATGTTGATGCATGTTGGTTTGGGCAATAGCCCCATTGGCCAATCCTTTCCACGCTCCATTTCCGCATCCTTGATCAATGCCAGCGTCAAGTAATACCCATCAAGGGCATTCCTGAGACACAAACACGACCACCATCCATGATGTTGAAAGAATCCCAAAGATGACCAATGCAAGTATAAAATAGCACAAGCAAATAGACAAGCGTAGACAAGCCGCCAAAAAGCAGAAATGAAGGAAGAATGATGAAGAATGATATGAACCAAAATGAACCAAATGTCTTTGATATCATACCGAGCCAAGCTATGCCAAACTGCTTCACCACCTCTTGCTTGCTTAGTGATCGGCTACATAGCCAGCCACTGAGTGTGGTCGACTCCCAAAACCTCAATCGTTCCCAAAAACAACCCCAATCTTTCGCATTGGTTCCTACATGCTCCAAATTGTTCTAACAGGGTGTAGTCAACCAGAATTAATTTTCTAGACTAAATTAATCGATACTCTGTCATACCCTCCGTTTTAATCTCTGGCAGGTGGGCAAGACCACCCTCAATTAATTTCAAAATTAATCAGGGGTGGGTGGTCAGTCCCACCCCTCAATGTTGGGCGCATGTGAGAAAAATAGAAAACCATGAGACCCACCGGCTTCTTCCCGTGAAGAGGCTTGGGAGAGTGATTTTGGTGTCAATGCCGGCTCAAGAGCTACAAAAAAAGTTCCAAAGAACGCTTTGGCCACTAGCATGGTGCCACGCGTCCTTTTCCACCTCGGGTTTTGATGCAAAACAACATGCAACCCCATTTCTTCAAAGGGATGGATAGCAGTGATGGATACCAGTGACATATCAGGGGGGACGCCATTGTCAAGATTGAACGCCGGATTTTTCCTTGCTCTTGTGGCAGGAGGCGGTCCAACGGCTCCCACAGGCGATCCCAACCTTCCTCTCTACACTTTGGGTGGCACCTTTGGCGGCTGAAGCGGCTGTCAGGCGCCTGACAGGGCGCCAGGATTTTCGGAAGAACAAAAAGAGCGGCGATTGGGTGGAGGATTGGCCGTGGATGCCAGTGGAGGTGTCCTTGGCTCTTGGATGCCACTCCACCTTGCTTCGCAGCACCTGGGTACCTTTTGAGGCCTGTTTCTAAGGCTCGATGGGCCCATTGATCATCATTGATAGATACTCCTTTTTGTCTCGGTGATGTATGAACCAAAACAAGGAGCCCGTGATAGACCAATTTTCGCATATCTTCGCCAGTATCATAGTTTGGTTGCTGTAAGTCAGCTGGGATCCCCTCACTTGGCCAGTGTCGATCTGAAACATGTTGGTAATATGATTGATTGCATGAAGCAGGATCGCATGACTGACCGCTTGAATTGTTGAGCTCAGCTTTGCACAAGTTGCGCCAGAGACCCAATGAGAACCATGCATCCTCATGGTATATATGTATATCAGTTTCACTCAGTTTCATCGGTTTGTCAAAGGTGACATCAGGAATTTGGATTGGCTGCGGCCAATCAGCATCAGTTATATACTGAATATGTATCATAATATGTCGGCCAAAGTTGCATCTGCCCAATTGCCACCAAACAGGTAAGAGTTCAAACAATCTTGGCACTTCATCAGGCTTCATGGACAAGCCAGGTCGCACATTGTCCCATATTTTGTAGCGTCCCTAGCGCACATACACAAAAAATGAAAAGCACCTTCAACAAACAGTGAATTTGAGAGCGCCCATGGGACAGCAACTATTTGTTCTATGACTTTGACTGACTGACTGACTGACGGACTCTCTCTCTCTCTCTCTCTGTAGTTTTTCTCCCCGTGTCTCTAAAGATGTGTATATATCATTAGTCACCAAAGCAACCAATCACGGGGCAGGTTCCCGTTCCTCAATGAATCCACCCGGCTCGTTAGCTCGTCTGGCTTGTCGCCCGCAAGGTATTCGCGAGCTGGAGCAGCGTTGCATGCAGCAGGAGCAGCAGCTCCAAGAACGTGAACAGGAACTGCGAGAGATCCAGCACCTCGGTTTTTCTCTTAGTCCTTTCTTTTGCTTTAGCTACCTACATAGCTTTATATTATGAGAGTTTGTTAGGAAGAGCTTGCAGAACCCCTCCAATCCAAACAGGTCTAGTCATTTTGACAGCTGAGATGGACTGATGTGAATTTTGTTGCAACTTCACCATTCTGGAAGTTGGGTTCTATTGGGTTTCGCCGAAATGAGCACAGATGTTGTACATTCAACTGGAATGCAGGGTCGAGCCAACAGCGGTCATGATGTATGACTTCGTGTGAACCGAGCCAAACGTTTCTGTATCCCATACCTCCACATTTCCAAATAGGGAACTACTACTCGAGTCGAGTTTGTATTTTACCTCATCGCCCGTCATGAACTATCTCCGGCGACAAATTCATGGGGACATGGGTGTCTATGAGTCTGTGGGGAAATGTATTTAAACAAAAACAAGGTGGTTGCTCAGTTACTTTCACCATGTGTAAACCAACCGAGGCAGAAGTGCCATGAGATTCAGCATCACTGGGAGCTTCAGGCGCAAGATGCGCACCGGCAGTGCCTCGGGACATAATCCAATGGGTGCCATACACATATATAACATTATATAACTAGTTATATTTATTATAAAATCTATGAATTAACCGTGCGCACTTAATTCCATCATAATGTGGGAAAAAAGAGACACCATCTAAGGAGAAGGTTTCCTGGGTCACCAAGCCTAGAGGGCGGTAAGTAATCAGGAAAATACCAAAGACATCCATGTGCTGAAAAAATATCAAGACTTGGGGACCTGTCAACGTGAGTTTACATAGCTGCTATGAAGTCGTATGATGTCGTGTGGTGTCCCGGTCCTCCGTTTTTGTTGCGCCTGAGGACCCAACAGCTACAGGAGGAGATCGGCTTCCTTCGGGAGAACAGCAAGAGATCTGAGGTGCGGGGCGGTGTCCATCCCGTTCTGCATGACAACCCCGCTCCGAAGGAACTGTCAAGCAAAGTTCAAGAAGTTTGGTTCGGAGTCTTGAGCAAGCATGAAAAAAACGGTAGTTACTTTTTAAATGCCACATTAACACACAACTGCCAATGTGTGCACTCTGAATACTTTCCCTGGGTTTGGCAAATCCTTTGCAAAAGCCTCAATCATTATATAGGATTTCGCCCCCGAAAGCGATGAGCACTAAAAAGTACTCTAAAAAGTATCTCGGGGGCGGATGGACCATGTCTTCCGGAAGATGAGCCAAGCACAGGCCACACAAGTAGCTAACTGTAAAAAAGAAACATTAAAAACCGCCAGACTTGTCTCAGGAAACTCTTCAAGGTGCCAAACGCTTGGAGCACGCTGTAGTGAACATCATGGCCACTTGGACTCGAGGTCGGTTGGTCGGTGGGTGGCGGATCTGCGGGGCACAGAGATGTCACTCCATGTCACTTGATAGCCAGATCAAGGCTCTCTCTCTCTCTCTTTTTCTCTTTGTTTCTCTAAGTGTATATATATATATAACTAATTATAAGTATTATATATATATGATATATTTATATTATACATGTGGTTACTGCATATACTTGTTACCTCTTACACAATGCTATACACAATTTATATGCATAATATATTGGACTGGACGATGCTTTCGATTCACGAGCAGCGCCAGTGTCCAGAAAAGACCGGCTTTGGTTCACCCTTGTGGACTCTAGCCCGTCTTTCCATGTTCTTTTTCCACCAAAATACTACCCATGGAAGCGGTCTTCAGAGTAGACGGCACAAAAGACCCCTTACATGTCCTTAGACAGATGGTGGTTAGGCAGACGGTGGTCCATGACGCAGTCCATAATATGTCTGATAAGAGTCCATAATATATGTCCGTATAAAGCAAACTTGGGGATTGTGCCATGCAGCTGAGGAGTACACCCACAGCATGATCCGGACGGTGATTGGTACTGGCTGGCAGGAGAACCGATGCGTTGCTTCAAACGGAAATAAACATGCCAAGAAGTTCTTGATTTGACTTGGTTGGACCTGCAACACTGTGTGTTCGACGAATTGGGATGGTCAAGTGCCTGAGGCACTAAGAAGTCTCTAGAGGATCTCAGCCCCCGCACAGTGCAAAAGTCATGGGATGCGGTGAATGAATGTGTTTGACATGACCAGTCTCTTGAGGTACCAGTTTCACTGGATATATAACAGTTGACTCTTGGAGGTGTTTCGTTTGAGGGTAGTTTTTAAGAGCTGATCAAACAACATGTGACTTTCCAAAGTGTTCCGATCTTTCCTCACTCCTGAAAATCCCCAAATCATCAACTCCACCCGTTTGCTTGACCATGCTTGACCCAAATCGGGATCAGACCCCCGTTCCGACCCATTCCCCCAGTTGAAACCGACAAGCAGGCAACAATCTGAAAGAATCGGATGCATCGGCTTGACCGAACGCATTTTTCCTTCAAGATGGTGATGACTCGAACTCCTCGAGGAGCTGACCAGACCTTTGCCAGTGGATGAGGTGCAGCAGATGCTGGGCATCTCGGCTGTTCAAAGCCTCAGCATTGGCATTATTGTTGGTTCGTGATCGTGGCTGTTCCACTTCCATGATCGGATCCGGTTTGTTCAGAACTTGTGTTGTCCGTCCTTTCAGTCTACCGGTCTAATCCCCACGGGCGGGCACGCGTGGACTCAAAGCTCCTGTCAGTGGAACGATTGGACGGCGGGGAATTTGGGGCTTGTCCACAGGTCTCCAGAGCCCTTTGGTATCTTTTGGTGTTCGTTTTGGAGGAGTCTTGAATTGGTGGGGCAATAGGTGGGCGGTGGGAGGTCAACTTGAATGTCACTATCCACAGCAATCCACAGCAGGGATAGATCAGGAAGGCCTGCTGCCCTCAAGTTCCCGAAGGCGGCGCAGCAGCTGTTCACCTCTCGGGGATGGTCATTTGGAGTCATTCAGATACTCAATCATACAATTTATGACAACACGGACACAGTCATACAGATATCTACAAGTGTTTGAACTCCACCTATTCACTAGGACCCTTCGACCCTAAGGCTATGACAAATATTGACGTGGGAGTTTGGACCGCGTAGCACATGTAGCCATGTGGAGGGGTTCCATCTTTTACTTCCCTGCAGATGACCACATGGAACCCCAAAACCACCGGGCCGCAGAGGAAAATGGTCTTGCACCGGTCAATTCTCAGGTTCCATGTTGGTTTGCGGGAGATTATTTTCCTCAGCACACTCTGCAAGGGTCAATTGAGAATGAACTCTTTTTTGAGACTGGTGAGGCAGAGCGGAATATGATAGACCTGAAGATGCAACTCAACAGTTCATACAATGCTTGCTGGGCTTGCCCAGATCTCATCTTGACAGCTTCATGCTTCATTTTTCCAGGCAAAGCCAACTGCGGTCCACCGGTCCACGCGCGCATTTTTTTTGGCCCACGCCACCCACCGGGTGCCGGCGGTTCACGGCTGAGGGTTGTGTCGGAACCGTGGCTTCGCGGAGTTCGGGGTGGTGCGTGACTGCTTGCAAGACGCAGGGCAGGAGTGCATGGGCAGCTGGGAGTGCAGGAACCGTTTGCGGGGGCGGGGGGAGACGGTTCTTTTGTTTTTTTCTTTCGAAAGTGCTGCTCTGATAGTTTATCAAGTATCGAGCAGGATGTCGTGATCGCAGTTTGTAGAACATATCCTATGAGTGTTTTGGGTGATAGAAATCAACAAGTCAGTGTTTTTTGGAAGTATGGAATGTATTTACAGATGATGCAGGACGACTCAGATCCGATACTGAAATTGGTGCGAAACATGGGCAACGGAACTATTGGATGCTGCCTGTTTTAATGAGGCAACACCAGGAGAGTAGTAAAGTCCAAAGTAGTGAAAGTTCATGAGAGTTCTATGCTCAACGCCTTCACAAGTTGGAAAGGCCCATTCATTCACGGCACTTGTGCTACTTTGATCATTCTGTCCACTTCTCACACAGCGCCTT